TTGTGAACAGTCGTTGCGTTATTTCAGTATCATTTGAAAGGTAGCATAATGTCAGATATGCAATGTATGATTTGATCTCCCAAGCGACGATATACATGATTACAATAAATAAATAAATAAGTTTATAATATAATATAATATAATATAATATAATATAATATAATATAATATAATATTATATTATTAATAATAAAGATTATTTATATTGCGCTTAACCTAAACCTAGCTCTAAGCGCATAACAAAAAAGTAAATTTCAATTCAAATCAAATAGGTGAGTCTTCAACCTATTACAAAAAGAGTCATGAGAACTTGAGTGGCGGACATCATATGGTAGATTGTCCCAGGTAGTGGGGCCAAATGTGCGTTATGAACACGTTGTAGTTTGTTTGTGATAGTGAGAAGACAGTCGGCCAGTAGACTATTACAATAATCTAGACGAGAGAGTACAAATGCACAGATTAGAGTCTTGGTAGCATCAGAGGTCAAATAATGGCGAATCGAACTTATCTGTATCAGCTGAATGTATGCCGCCTTACACACATTTCCGACTTGCTGTGACATATTGAGACTGCTGTCTAGTGTAACACCAAGATTTGTGACCGAAGTTACAAAAAGTATATGTGAACTGCCAACAGTAATTGAGGATGAAAATGGTGATTTTGATGCCAGACTTGGTGACATAATTAGTATGGCCTCAGTTTTACTGTCATTTAATTGAAGCTTGTTTAGTGGCATCCATTTCTTGATACCAAAGATACAGTATTTCACTATATCCAGTGTTGCCTAAGTGTGCTCTACGCTGGTTGCTTTGTATAGTTGGTTGTCATCTGCATAAGCACGGTGCTGTACAGAGTGTTGTTTTATAAAATTCAATAACGGCTCTGTATATAGGACAAATAGAACTGGTCCCGGGACGGAACCGTGAGGAACGACACGGTAGAGCACAGAACTTGATGAGGTGTAGCCATTAACAACAACGGTCTGTGCCCTGTCAGTAATGTAGGACCCAAACCAATTGAAAACTGGTCCAGATATACCAAATGTATGTTCAAGTCGATGAAGCAAAATGTTGTGATCGATAGTGTCAAAATGCAGCGGACAAGTTATCATAGGCGAATAACGTGCAGCAGTTTTTTTGTATTGCAAATATATATATACATGATATAGCCTTAATTTAACCGTAGAACGTATACTATCAAAGGTTGCTTCTTTGCAAATCTTGTATAAAGGCGTTCTGTATTACATTAATGATGTTCATAACTACGTGCCAAATTCAGTCATGCCGTTGAAAGTTACAAAAAAGTACCTTTTTTGCTATAATATATAACTTTCTACATCTAAGTGATTCTTTTGCACAGTTAAAGGAAGTGTGCTTGTAAACGTTTCCTAATATGGACAATTGTAATTCTGTGTCAAGATTCTAAAATGGGCCTATGATAGTAATAGTTACTAAACTTTCAACAATCATGATCAGAACCTGTTGACAATAAGAAATTCAATACCTATTTGGCCAAAATTAACAAAAAAAGATAGAGAGAATACATGACAAATTTTTGACATTTGTCGGGTCAAAATACGGCATTCAAAGAGGGGCCGACGAAAATTCCACAAATACTATATGATAACTAACAAAATGGGGGTAATTGTAGATTAAACTATTTAGCAATACATGTATGTCAATTGTTTGGTACATTTCTTTCACAGGAATACATATATTGGTGTTCAAAGACAAATATAGTATTCGACAAAGTCACAAACTTGCAAAGATTATAAATCCCTATGGTGTTTGGTATACTCCATAATCATTTATTAAACTTAGCTTAGGGTATACGTACGTGGTATTACACGCGTATCGCTGATTAGACTTCATCAATGTACAAATGTTTGTTGTTTTTATTTAACGAACATTAACGAATATTAATGATTTTCTTGTTCAGCTTTTTAATTGCAAGTTTTCAATGTGTGTTTTTAGCTTCAAATATATACATTCTTCAATACTGCTCAAGTCACTTTGATAAAACCGATTTTAGGCTTTTGTAAAAAAAAAAAAAGCAGGGTAGTATGTACGAAGTGTTCACAACACATTTAGGAATGTCTACAAAAATTACATTGACAGCCTATTCTTGAGATTTCCTCAGCCTACTAGACGTATTGCGTGGAATTCTAGAATAGTAGCGTATCTTGTTTAACAATTCAGCATTATAACTTCACAAACCAAGGCGGATTGAATAAAGCATAAATGGCTATTTATGATTACCAAAACAATTTTATAAATGTTGTTCTCATTGACAAAACCTTCCAGAGTAATAATTGATAATCTCTCAAATGATGATTATTAAAAAAACTGGCCAATCCGTGAGAGTTGCATTACTGTTCGACCCTAACTAAAGAATTAGCCAATCT